GGAGATACATGGCAAAGCATTAGTAGTGTTTGTTGTACAATATGTTTTCTCAAAGATCTGGTTAAATGGGCTTTCTTAAAATATCTAATTGTATTTTTCTGTGCACTGTGATACCCATTCACAAGCTGACTTTAGGCAGACAACTGATAATACAGTTGTAAATACCTGCATATCATCAACTCAGTTTGAAAGGTTCTTTTCATTTAAATTTTGGTAAAGCATCCTAAAATGAAGGAAGCCATCTTTCAGATGATACAAACCATCACTAAGGTCAAGGTTAGAGTAATTGAACTTGTTTGTTAGCAAGTTAATTACAACGTAATCTTAATGAACACTTCAAATCAGATAAAATTAAGCATGGGGTATAATCTTCACTATTTGTCATCAGTGGTTTTTTTTTTCTTTAACACGAGCAAAACACAGTAACTTAACAGAAAATCACTTCAATCAAAATTTATAATTGGTATGCATGGCCTCAGGGTAGAACAACCATGTATTTGCATGAGCAAATCTGGAGCAATTATGATGCAAGCACAGAAAACTGTTGCTTTAATCCATAATTTTCAAAAAAATGAACTTTGCTGGAGAATCCACCAATGACTGTATTAATTAATATATCCAACTGTCTGTCTACTGAAGGCTAACTGGGCGTCAGTCAGTACCACACTTATTAACGTCTAATAAGATAAATTTCAAAAACAGAATTATATATATTTTTTAAATGTTTATGGAAATATTTAATAAAGTTTAATGTAAAACAACCTTATAATTAACAAAAAATTCCAATAAAACTTGTAGTCGTATTATACAATAATTGATTCAATGAAGAGATAATTATTGTTAAATGTTAATAAAATCAATAAAAACAGAAGCAAACAAAAATTGTTGCAAATCTCCACAGCACAAACAGGTGTCATGTTTGCTTAGACACTTGTTTAAAAGCATTGTGAAAACCTTCATTTTTACGACTGTTGCAGGTCCCGGAAAAAACAACAGATGTTTAACTGTTAATTGAAAGGTCCCCAGTTCTACTGAATTTAGCTTGTCAAACATTTCCTTCAAGTTTGAAAGGTAATTCTATCATACACCATTGTTAATTTATGTGTATAAGTTAACTTATTTTTAAAGAATGGAGACAATTTTTAAAGATAAAAAGATTTTTACTTTTTATATATTCTGCGGATTCAGTCTAAATAGTTTTAGTTAGTTAGCTAAGTGATTTATAATAACTTAATGTGTCAAATTATCATTATAAGGTCATAAATTATATCAATTTCATAGCAAAACTTATTTATATCAACACTTTGGTAACTTTTGTAATTGGTTTTATTTTAAATATTAAATATGAATATTCCTTCTAATAGGAGTGCAGGAAGTTTTCCCAGAGACTTTATGTGATTCACAGATCACTAGGAGATTTATATATGATAATCGCTTATAAAATTTACTGGGACAAAGATCTGGAATCAAAATGGCCAACTACATTTATTGATTTTGCAACAGAAGCTATGCAAGTAACAAAATAGATGTGAAGTGAGAATAAATTTATGTTTCTAAATAGTAAGCAATAACCCACACACACACACCCACACATTATTGAACAGGAGAAGCAATAAAAATGGAGGTAGTAGATGGCTAAACGCCTTCAATATCAAAGTTTATCCATTAAGATGCGAAACATTTCCTCAATACCATCTACTATGGGATGTGTTTTGACAGAATATGATTATGTATTAAAATGCATTAAATTGGCATTCTGTACCTGTCATGTTTTGATGGTGCAGTTATGAATAGTGTAAAGTTATATTTATCTGTCGACAACAGAGTTACTGTTCTCTTATCAACAACAAACATGCAAAATATTTGACAAAATAATGGATTTGTTATTTGATTTAATGTTTGCAACTTCTTTAATGCAAATGGACACATAACTCAACTCCTATGAGATGCATCATGTAGGCTGCAAACTTGAATTCAGTCGGAAAATTATTGATGAAGTACAGTACTCCAAAAGCTTTCAAAATATTTGTTTATAAATTCCAGATTATGTTAGTTGTATAGCATGTTGAAAAAAAAAATGATATTAGTTCATTTTATATAATCATGGTTATAAATCAAATTATGAAATTAGTAGATTGACAGGAGTCCCAAGTCTTGCAAATGTCGTTATTTATTGCATATTAATATTATTCATATTCATATTCATATTGGTTATTTATATAGCGCCTTTCTTTGCAGATACAAAGCACTTCTGTCCCTGGTCATTGGATCCAAATGCATAAGTGCTGCTGCTGCAGTCAGTGATGGAGCAAGCAACCCCACCAGGTGCCCATTTATAGTCCTGGGTGGAGAGAAGCAATGCAGATAAAGTGTCTTGCTCAAGGACACAAGCGAAATGCACAGCAAGGGATTGTTATTATGCAATACCTTAAGAAAAACATGTCATAAATGAAAATTTCAAGGGAGTATACCATTGTAATACCTCTTAACTCGTTTGGCAGAGCATCCAAATGTAATTGGTTCGAGCCCTAATGGGGTTGTTTTTCTAAACAAATTATTACCTCTTTTATGTGGAGATGAAATATGTGACTCATTTTGATGTTTATGAAAATTGCATTAGCAATAATACTTGTACTTAAATATATACAATTTAGAACTTACTTTCTTTTTGGCAGGTTTGTAGTGGTGCATAAACTCATCTAAAAAACCACGGAATGCATTGATGCCCAAAGTAATCGGGAACTGGGCATTACTCTGTTCTAGTTTGGCGGTGTTTTGTAACACTTGCTCAAAATCCGATATCAAATCCTTATACTGGAGCGACAAAGCATTGTCATCCTACACAAGATATAATGAGAAGTTGTCTGTAAATTATGTTATTTAAAGGTTGAGTTTCACCCTCACCCACTCAGCCCTTGATAATCATGAAATTTCATACTAATTTTTACACTCAAGTACTATTTACAGTGCAGTATATATATTGCATCATCAAATGACCTTACAATTACTTCCAAGAACATTTCAACAATCAATAACAATTTCTTTAAAACATATTAGATTACTGCGATTGAGGAGTTATTAATAGAATACTATTAGCGTTATAACTATGTATAGATTGAAGCTTATAGGCATATAATAATATAAATACACAACCATCCTTTCTACAAAAAATACTAAAACAAGTTGTTCCTGATACTCCTTGAACAGTGGTGTTATTTATGAGTGTGCAGCCATTTTTAGGAAGAAATTCACAAATTCTATGCTAACATGCATGATAGCTCTATGATTAAGTTGCTCAGTTACCTGCATTGCCATAGATTGATGAGTAAGTAGATTGTTTCGGTATTTATCCATTGCTTTGCGAAAAACCTTATCAACTTGCGTATGGTGAGCTTTACTTTTGCTGATTTCGGCAATCTGTAAAGGAATAAAATATGGATGAAAATAATACAATAATTAACTTTGATTTATCTCAAAATGTACTGCATTTTGGCAATAAATATTATGTCGAACATTTTTAAAAGTAATGAAAATATGCTAGAAATTCATGAATTATATATGTGGCAAAGACAAGCCAAACCAGTCACTCGTCGCAAAATTCAATTTTGAGTTATTAATACAGTGTTAGAGAGTAAAATAATAGCTATAAAATAGTAAAAAAAACCATTCAAATCGGACATTTCCTTATGAAGTTACAAGCGTTTAACCACACAGCTGTTTAAAGAACAATATATGAGAAATCAGCCTTCAAAGTTTATGATTTCAGGCATTTCTCATGCAGAAACTATCTTTAAACCCTTAAAAAGTGTTGTTTCAACATTAAAAATGGGACAAACAACAGCATAGAATGATGTGTAGATATATAAAGGTTAGTTTAGTGCAATAAAATAGATTTTTAAAAATTTGACATTCTAGCATGTTTTGGCCATTTTCTCTGAAACACGATTTGCGACGAGTGACTGGTTTGGCTTGTCTTTGCCACATATCTTTATATATTGTGAAAAGTGCTTTCATTTACTCAGCAATGATCAAAACCGTGCATAACAAAAATAACTTTGTAATAACATGTAATAATGTCATTTTTGTGTTTTCAGCAAACTGGCAAAACAAATTTCATTGTTCCCTTGTTTGATCGATGACAATAAAATATTCTTGATTGTTGATATAACAAGAGAGTCCAACAGAAATATCAAGCACAGTTAGGGCAATGAAATATTTAATTACTTTTGATCATAAAAAGCAGTTAAAGAAATATAAATTCCTTGAAGTGGACTTCAATGTCAGGGGAATTTATTCCATATCTTAATTGATATGATAAATATGTGAAGAATTTTCTTCAAATACAGAAACATATTTATTTGGTTTGATATGTCTGGTGTTCGAGATATTAGTTGAGTGTTTAGTCTGATATTTGTTTTTGATTAATGAGAATCTGACGTCTTTTTAATATACTTATTACATTTACTTTATTATCTTTTATAATCTGAAATTTTCATTTATAAGATTATGATGAATAAAAAATATAGATTGTTATATATTATTTATGTTGAGTTAAATGTCAATAAAATGTATTATAGGGTATTGCGTAACCCAGCAAACCTCCCACAATCCTCTGCCTATATTATAAAGCACTTGATGATTACAGAGCATGCCAAAACACCATATTTTTTAAAGAAAACATTTCTGTACTGTATTTATAACAATCCATTTTTTAAAATTGAAAAACCTTTAGTAAACCTCCGCCTACATTATCCAACACATATGATAATGAGCGTTTTAATGGAGTATAGCAAAAGACCAAATAAAAGAAAACCATCTCTGTAGTTAGAATAATCCATTTTATATATACTTAACTTCGAAACAATTGTTATACATTTCAATTGAAAATTAATATGAGAAAGTATAGTATTTTTTTTTGCAACTAGACATATGCACAAAGGATATTGTTCCTACATTCTTTGAATAAACACTTAAATAAATTGGTAGTTATTAAATATTTTCATAAGAAAGTCTGTAATAAATCAATAAAAATTGAATTGCTTCAAGTGTATCTTATTGGAATTTGAAAAATAATCTATTTGATCACAAGATAAACAAAAAATTAGTAATTCAATGAATTTATTTGAATTTGGGGATTTCCAGACTTCACCACAGACTCGCGTCAGAAAACCTACTACAGGAAAAGGGATCGTCAAAGATGCATGTAATGAACAGGAAATGCAGTTCAAACAGACAACGCCAACTAAATCACAATAAATAAAAACCTAGTGTCTACAAATTTGCTTGCATCAAACTGGTTTCATCATAAATTTTAGTCTACACTATCAAACTTTATGCGACAAAATTTGATATGATCATATTTGGGTGTAATATGGCATCATTATGCCCATATATGGGCATATCACACAAATGTCACATAAATGGACAAAGCTTAGGTTTGCTAATTCTTGAAAAATAACGACCACTTGAAAGCTTAAAATCTAGAGTACATCATCAACTACTGTACAGTCATGACTATCATTAGGATATAGCCCCAATAAATGTTCATAAATAGCAGTTTCTAAATTAATTTTTTTTTTATTCATATATAATTATTTCAACAAAAGTATACTTTATAAACTCTGAGCAAACATATGATCTCTAGATGTCTGTATACCAGTCTACAGGCTAGTAAGCAATGGTATTTTTAGACTCCAACTTTGGTGGGATGCAGATCAACTTGTGCTCTTCTAGTATATTAAATCAGGTATTAGAATGTATGAAATATGAATATGAATTCTCCCACAAAAATAAAACTTTGATCCTTATTGAACGTTGTAAACCTAATTGAGTCACATGTTCAATCAAATTTTGTCATACCTATCACCATACCCCACTTCCATCCCCCTCCCCGGATTCAACACTGGTGACTTCCTCATGATACACCACCTATGTTAGTCCACAGCCAGTTTATACAGTACATTTCAGTTAGTGGTTAACTGATTAAAGATTTGAAAATTTTGATCCACCAGGCCCTTGGTGTTAAACCAAAAATTCACTTTGGCCCTCCAACCGATTTTTATGCCCACCCCTGCCTTAGGGTGTCCCGTTTTTCTAGAACATTCTATTTTCCCTCATATTAGATCTGGTTAAATCTGACTTATGTGACCAAAGCACCTGAAAGTCTAAATGTTTGATTTTTGGCACGTAATCTCATTTTCAGTTCAATTTCCTGTAGCACACTGACATTGGTTTCTATTGACGTCCACAAGATTTTCAGCATTTCACACTAACACTAATTCTATCCAACAACAAACAAAAACTGGCATATCTAAAATGAAATTCCTACCAGTAATCTTCAATATATTGAGCAAGACCACTTAATATATAACTCGTGATTAACAATGGAACGTGAAGGACATGGAAATACAGTTGCCATGAGTAATGGCAAAACAATAACTACTTCCTGTCAATATCACAATCACGTCTTTGTAGTTAACACGGTGAGCTACACCATGTTCCACCACTACCAAGAGAGAACCTGTTTGAAAATTTAATATGAATCATAGATTTCAGGATGAAATAACAAAAATATAAATTTTCTAATAGCAATGCCATAAGTGAAACACTATCAGTGGTTCCCCCATGAACTGAGAAAAAAAAGTAATACAGAAATTTGCAATTCATCCAAATTTAACTAGTTGGAAAATCTAAAAAAAATTATTAACATTTCAATCAATTTCATCATACTGTTACAGTCTTCTTTGCAGTCGTAAATAGAGAGAGCGAGCTAGCTCAGTCGGTAAGCTGGTGGCAGCCACTGTGCGTGCACTCAACTCTGGAGATCTCTTGGTTCCTGGTTCAATTCCTATCACTGTTCTCCTTGATTTACAACTGGAGGGCTAACATTTTAGTTTTAAAAGCGCACCGTCTTTCATGAGACGTTTTAAAGCCTTTGGTCCTGTGTTCAAATGGATGGAAAGGAAAATAGTAGGAGAATGTCTCTCAGTGTACTAACCAATTCACCACCAGAAGGACCACATTGGAAATAAGTCTTAGAACTTTTATGGGTTAACCTTGGCGTGCATCTCACTGACGAAATCCAATCCAATGTGAGAATATATACAAAATTATGTCAACCTAAACAAAATCCTAAACATCAATCATCAAAATGTATATAGCGCCAAGCACAAATATCCTATGAAATTCTGGTTCAGAAAGATATATCTTTGTTTACACTTGACTAAGGATCATTTCTATAAGCTACAATAGGAGATTCCTTGCTATATTACTAGTTTAATATTGCATAATTAGGTTGATATAATATTTTATTGCAATAGATGCAATATATCTGTTGAGCCTGTTAAACATTATTGCTCATTTTAATTAGTACCATCTAATTAAAAATTAAAATAAATAATTAAAAAATTAATTGGAAAATTAAATTAAATTAAATTTTATTGCTTGAAAAAAAAATTTTAGTTAAAATCTATAGCTGTAACTTATCAAGAAACAAATTTATTTGTATTTTGGAATAAAGTTTATAATATAATAATAATTAAAAATTAAAACAATGTTTTCTTTAAGCATACACTTTTTTGCAGACCAAAAATTTGTCTATGATATCTTCATATAAGAAATAAAATTTGCAGTGAACATGGTATCATATACTTATACAGGTTTACATATAATATGCATTAATTCTGATTTATTTATGATGTGATTAATATTCTGAAGACATATTTGTAATTACCATGTAAGCACCAGTACCTACTATAGATTTATTGCTAGCCCATGGAAATAACTGATATTAAATATACTTACTTCTAAAAATTCAGTATATAAAGTAGAAAATGATCAATATATTTTGCAAGAAAACTAAAAGCAGCAGTATTTTCTTAGGAGCTAAAGTCTGATGGTTTAAGGCTAATTTCAACTGGGCATGTTTGTTGTCAAGAATATTTAATACATTAATATCTAAAATTTAGCTTATTAAGTAGGAAATCAATATATTTTGTAACAAAACTAAAAGCAGCAGAATTTGCTTAGGAGCTGAAGTCTAACACTAATTTTTACTGGGCATGATAACAAAATGGCAGTATTGGCAAACAAATTAGAATCATCTATAATTCATAGGAACATCTCCACTGAACATGACTACGTGACTACATGACTACACTCTGTATTAAGAATAGGTTCTATTTTTTGCACTGCAGATGTGTGTTGTTATCGTGTGCCATTACCATGCAGTTACCAGATCCAGCTCTTATACTGAGTTAATACATGATTATTGAATATTTATTGTGAATATACACATCCAATTTGAGCGCAACTGACTATTAAACAAATATTTATGCTACCTAACACAAATAAAAAATAAATATAATATTTAAGATTAAGGATAATCAGTTAAAGCCTCAATATGTAGTATAAACACAGATAAAAGTTTAACAGCATATGAAATAAATACATATAAAACCAGATATTAATATTCTTACCTTTGCCTTCAAAAATTCGTCCATTTGGTTTAACTCGGAGGCGTCTGAGATCACCTGATTAGTCGGGTAGCGCCACTGGGTTGTTCGATGGATACTCATGTTACTAGGTGTCGTCTTAGTCTTAACCTCTGGAGAAACTGCTGGTGGTGTCATGGACACCGGACGGCCTTTCAAAGCTAGGTGCTCGACCGAAACTTGGCCTGAAATGGTGGGACGTTTCTTTTTAGAGCGTAGTTTCCAGTTGAACCTTGGCTTAGTGGATGGGCTCCTTGAGACCGGTGAATCTTCAATACGAGGTTTAGTTTCAGCTGATGTCGGTGAAAGCGAATTCTTGGCATCTTGTTGTTTTTCTTTCTTAGATGACTTTCTTCTAAATGAACCGGGCAAGATGGAAGTTGGCTTGCTTGGACTTTCCTACATAGGCAACAAAATTTATCACAACATTCATTTATTGACTATGAAACTTTATTTGACAAAAACATGTGACATGCCTATATATGGTGATGATGGATTGACATCATGACCATGTATAGGCACATCATGACTATATATGGGTATACAATAGTACAAAAGAAAATTTGACAGTTTATCCAAATACATACCAAAACAAATATAAAAATATAACTTATTATTATCATAATTATCATCAATATCATTATTTCTATCAGATGACAAAAAAAATAATGATGTTAATATCACTAGAATCATTATCAATATAATCATATAAGTACACATATTGAAATACATAGCTAATATGTTTATTTAATTTTCTTGATACACAGCTATCTTTTTTCATTAGTCTGTGGAAAACAATCTTGTCTGTTGGTAAATTTCAATTTACGTTTAAAAGACAAACAGGATGTTGGTCAATGTTAAAGTCAAAATTGCTTGAAATCTTGGTAATTGACTATCGCACAATTATATATTGATAATTGCAGTCAAGGGTAACCAGAAAATCACCAAAATAAGTACATATCTAGGACGTATACTGCAAGGTCCCAAGTTCAGACTAGCAAATATTATAGTAGACACCCCTCCTCCTTTTTCCCGCTTAAAGAAATAATGCGACATGGATAAACATGTGTTTATGTTGCTTGGGTTAAGTGATTATGACTTAACTGGAAAGTCAATATAATTTTCCTTGATTCTCTGATAACAAAGTGTAAGATAAAAACATTGTCTCAACATGACAATTGGGTAAAATTTGAGCGGTTTCTTAATGTTTCTATATTTTATGATATTGTATTTTACAGTATATATTTTCTCAAAAATCCATGAATGAATGAAAATGACTAAATATAGCATCATCTAATGACCATTGTTTTGTTGTCAAAGGCTGGGCATATCTCCTCCTATTCCCTATATTGTACAATACCTCTTCAGTGTTTAAGACCTCCATAAATGATTTTCTAAGCTTTCAAAATGGATAGGCCCAGCTTTATACATGAATATGTTCATTTCCTGACCAGAAGTTATTAGTCTATGAATGTATCCTTTTATCTACATCAAAAAACTTTTTAATAAGCATCAAAACATCTTGGGATAGCATCATAATTACTTCATAATACTGTATATGTATATAT